TTATTTTGCTAAATTTAAATGTGTGGAAGGAACAATTTACAAGAAATGTTTTGCATCTATTAAAAGAAACGAAATTGTTGACGAAAACTCCCTAGTTTCGTATATGTTTGACTATCCGGTCACCCGTGTTCGACCTTACCAATTTTTTACGCTTTCAAATCTATTACTCTTCGAATACACTATGTTCTAACAAGTTTCATAATTAATGAATGGACAATTCTTCATCCTTGTTATTTATAAAGAACCTTTGCTTCTTATACATCGATCCTTGTTTCTTCTATTGACTAACCTATGTCCTTACAATACATACTTAATTAAAAAACCAACATGTGAAAAACAAACAGAAAAAACTTCGTCAATCAAATAAAAATTCATACAACCTGACTGTCCTTAAATTAATGTGAATCAGTCAGTAATACGACACATGAGTGTATTAAATTATAGACAGAATCATTATTCGTATCACATGAATTTACAACATTCATTAAGATAAATCCCGTTGAGTATTAAATCACTGAGGTAAGTAATACCGTCTTTAAAAAATATAAAAATGCTCAGGAAATACTACACAGTAGACTAACTAATTCATCTTGATGTAATGACGTAAAGTCAATCAGATACTGTTAGATACAAAAAGGTATAGACTGAAATAATTGGAGTACAAATCAATGCATTTCACATTAAACTAACTATGACAGAATAACATAGACAAAGTTTTAGTTAATTCAAATCAATCTACAAACTAATATAATTATACCGTAAATAAAAAATAATGGACATAGTACAACAGTAAGCCAATCGAAAAGTTTTGTCACATGACATAAATGCTTGGATTAACATGACAGCTTATGAAAGAAACTTACACCTAATTATCTTGATTGCTTTTGTATGGAAACAGATATACAAGTTATTAAGGATCTTACTTCGGATGATAACATATACAGCCCTATATATACATATCACGTAGGGTAACTGTTCCAGGACGATAACGATGAGGTTTCTTAACACCATCAGTAGCTGGTGCACTCTTACGTGGCGCTTTGGTGGCTAACTACTTTCTTAGTGTATTTCCACCAATACTCTTACGAACATATATATATAGCTGATATAGGTCAAGTGTATTTGTTAGGTATCTGTTACGGTATGTGTTAGTTGTAACGTCTTCCATTTTCTCTTCAATGTTTGTTATTTAAATTAAACATCATTTGTTCTTTGATTTGCCTGTAATGTATGTTGTTGTTGTAGTTTTTCCCATTTCATTAACCCTATATACAAATGATAAAATTTTATAAAACATATAAACAATCACATATTTACTTTACATTATGTTGTATCATTCTACTAGAAAAATATATTTAGACATTTAACCCAATTAATTTATTATTATCAATATTTCAAAATGACAGTTTGTCAGATTTTCATTAACAGAATTTTATGGGTTTTTTTTTCTAATACCAAGTTAATTTATTTATGTTTAATTAAACCATATTTTTTTAGACCAATGGTAATTATTCTTCTCAGCTTCAAAGGTTATTTCGCTACTATTCATAGCATGCTTCATTTCTGTGTTTTACACGATCAACAGTTCGATCTTCCAAGTTTCATCTCTTCATGTGTTGAATAGTTTTGTTTAGTGGCTTTCTACAAGTCTAACTAGTTTATTTATGAAGACTATATGAGAATATGATTTGATTTTCTTAAACGATGAATTGTGATTAACAGTTAGAATTATACTTCCTGTTCGGTAGCTATGTTTCTTCATTGCACATTTTCAGGTTCTTTAAAATACTACAGGAATGATAGCTAACATTCGATTAGGATGAAGATAATTTGATTAACATTGCTTGAGAGTCTCCAACTAGCTAACTTGAAAAAGTCATCGTGGCGTAACACTTCTCAAATTAGTTATCACGTAGGAAACTTAACCGATGAAGAACAATTACCAATAAAGACTAAAGGCATTTTTATTAACTAGTAACCATTTATTTGAAGCAATTAGTCCCTTTGATAAATTTCGATAATGTAATAAGATGAAGATTATCAGAACTATGTGATATATTAGAGCAATACATTTCGAACAATCTGATCACACATATACTTGCTAAGAACATTTATATATAAAAATAAAAGTTCAACTAGACTGGAAATGAGATAAGAGACAATGATAATAATAATGTGGATACAATTTGAATCTCAATCACTCTGGATAATAAGCCGATTTTACCAGGGTAGGTTTAAGGTGAGAACAAACTGTTTTTGAATGCACAACGGGAGGTTGAATTTTCGTATTGCTAAGGCCCCAATAAACCTTAGTATACACCCTTTTACACTTTTATACAACACCACAAAAGCCAAGTTAAGATCAATCTTATCTCTTATTTCGATCACAGGTTTAGCAATAGATGATGATGGATGTTTACTTGTTACTCTTATTGGGTCACTTTATTCTATTTGTTTCTGCAACCATTTTGCTACATGTTCACACACCCTAATTTGAGATCACGATTGCTCCTCCCTGTGTGTGTGGTCACACACAAAATTAAGTATTCAAAAAGTTTGTTCTTACCGTAAACCTACCCTGGTAATATCGGCTTATTATCCAGAGTGATCAGGTTATTATTACTCTTAGTATTATCATTGTCTCCTCCTACCTTATTTCCAGTCTAGTTGAACTTTTATTTTTATATAAAATGCTCTTAACAAGTATATGTGTGATCAGATTATTCGAAATGTATTGTGCTAATATATCACTTAGTTCTGATAATTTTCATCTTCTTATTACATTATCGAAACCATTTGTTTGATATTCATATTCCGTGATCCCTGATTTTCTTTCCTCTAGTTGTAGATAATTTTAATCACTCTGTAAAGGCACTGGAACCATATTAGACTTCCAACTTTCCCTACTATGAATTACTGGTACTCCATTGCTGTTTCACATTATTTCTAATCCATGTGACAATCTATGTATCGCGTCTTTTTAAACAATTTGGCTTTTAATACTTACGCATTTAAACCGTGCACTCCTTTCATTATTAACTTAATCACCCTTCTTAGTTGGTATTCGTTCCGTAACCATTTTTAGAATATTTATTTATTTATCCAAGTACGTAAATAAGCATCAAATAAACACCTTGAAGATAAAAATGAATAAGTTAATGCCATTTAACTACTATTACTTAAGTAGTAGTTTATACATTATGATGAAAATAAGCTAGATATATGTATGTTGAAAAGTGAGAACGCGTGGATCGAAATACGAAGTAATTAATATAAATAATGTATGATCTATGTTTGTCAAAGTAACAATAAGTATTCGTTTCTAATTCAAATCACTGAACTTTTGGGACTCTAATATTTTGAATTTAAAGGTTAATCAAATAAGAATAATGTCTGTATGGGGAAAAACTAATAATATCGAGTTGATAACATAAGACTTAATGGTAGCTGCAAAATCGAAACATTTATCAGTTTGGTAAATAATTATCATGCATCTTTGTAATCCAGCGCACAAGAAATATCAATACGATGACAGATTTCTCAATAATAACCATGTGTCATTTCAAAACTTAGAACAACACATATAAGCGAACGATCTTGTTTCAATGAGACCTTCATCCTGCTTGACACTAGTATACAGAAACGTTTATGTGGATATACAGAAAATATGAAGCCATTCAAAGCAACTTATGATTCAATCATTATAATCAAACCTAGCTAAATAGAATAATCAGAAATTAAAAACGAAGACAGGTGTACTATTAGTGATAAGAAGGACAAACGTTCTTACCAAAGATTGAAATAAGACAGAACTGGAGTAAATAGACATTAAAATAATAATCGTTGAAACTTATTAAAACTGTGTAATAAGAAGTGTACAAATAATCAGACAGTGAGAAATATAGACGGAAGAAGGTGCAGAAAAACAAACACATAGGGTATGAGGGAATTAATAACTTCGACTATGAAGTAACAGTCGGCCAAGAGACGGATTGTGATGTTACGAATTCCCATAGAATATCCGTAAGATACGAAGGAATATTATTACCTATATTTTTCTTTTGATGCTCACATGTTTAACAAACAAGTCAGTGATTTCGGCATTCTACATTAATGATCCCATCTATTAGAAACCCATAAATCTGCAAAATGCTAGGTATTGTTAGGAATCAAAGATTTTAGAAGACGTGCATGGTCTACAGTCTCTTAAACTTGAGACCTAATCCAATAATAATAAAATTCCTAAATAAGAGAATAAAATTAGAAGTCACTCTAACCAGCTAACAGTACTCCACTGATCAGTAATTTTATAATTACAATATCCCATTGAGAATTTTCCGGCTAAAATAACAATAAATTAAAGGTAACTGCTGCCAGAATTACTAGCATATCAAGATACTATTATGACAACACTAAGTTAAAGACACAAACTGCACCAAACCATGAGTTGGTTGAAGTTTAATTCAGTACCAGTAATTCACTTTAGATATAATGATTTTAATATTGCAATACACGTCGTTTAAAAAGTATAACGAACGATTCCACGAAACAGAACGAAACAAATACACAGTTTCATTAAGTGCATAATGCTAATTCTACAGGAATTATGATACAGAAAACTGTCCACAAGTATTTAAGTAGGTGATTTCTAACTTAATCACCAAATATGTGCCCATGTATTGAACGTTGAGTTACACCTTTCGTGAAAGATGAGGCAATGCAAAACCAAAAAACCTGGGTTCGGACTTGTGACCAAACAGCTGAGAGTGGGATGACCTAACCAACAAGTTAATATACCCAAGTATTCACGAAATCGTAATCTTCAAATAACAATCATATATATATATATATATATATATATATATATATATATATATATATAATGTAAGTATTATGCAATTCCGTATAGCATTGTGTGTTTCTACTGCTATATATTGAATGGTGAAAATTGAAATATTCAACAAGCAGTAACGAATAAAACATAACACAATTAATATCTTGGCAAAAAGAAAATGTATATATTTACTTAAAAAAATAAGTGATTGTAATTGTTATGGAGATGACTATGATATTAGCAACAGCGATAATAATAGTAATCATAATGACTGAAAAATGGAGAAATAACTGAATGATAAAGAGCATTATGCATTATGAAAACATGTTAAGTAAGGATACAACTGTTTTTTTTTGGAAATAACATTTTAGTAAAAATAAAAGTATTAAACGTCACGGCAAGTGAATTAGTTAGATTCAGCTGGCTCTTATGAATGATCTATTCCATATCATCGATCGAAATGTATGTAATTCAAATCAGAGTATATTACTGGATAACACATAAATCTTCATATTTCTATTCAGTAATGAACATACACAGACTTCCATACAAAGAATCGTGAATTACGGAAAAATAACCAGAATTATGTAAAAAATAAATCTCCTTTTTAGTAAATATCCCATCTAATAAGTTAAAGAAAGTGTTCAAAGTAGCAGTATCCAAAGCTGATTCACAAAAGTAGTAACAATGGTATGTATACGGCACATATACATACATACACATACACGAACAAAGCAACAAAGATAATATATAGGCATTATAGAGGAAAATGATAAAACAAAGAAATAAATAGTCATCGATATATCAAAGTTGACATTTTATGCTAAATAATGAAAATCAAATTACAAATCTGAGTTACTTTTTGTTAGCACTACTACTGTGATAGTAGTAACAAATAAAATAAGAATAATAATGGTAGTACTGACCATTTACATATTATTACGTAACATGGTAATATTCCTCTTGTCACCTGTAAAATTCATTAATATTATCGCAGTAAGAATCCAGTGTTTGTTCGTCAATGTTTTCTGAATATTAAAGAGTTAAAAAAATAAACTCATTCATAAACTACACCTCAGAGTTGAAACATGTGAAATCAATCCTGGGAATTCCTTTTATGGGCAGTGTTTACATTAAGATTGTTGTACTGAATCCCTTGAGTGTTACGCTTCTGGTGTTGCATTTGCTGATTTAGTACGTTACTAGCCAAATCCGAGCTTCGGTGTTCAGATACAGTTGGACGATGAGAAGATTCATAATTCTTTATGTTTGGCTGGTAACAGCGATCGCACACGCGCGAAGGGAAATCAAGACCTCTTTTAGGTACAGGTTGATAATGCTGTGAACAAAATCCACAAACACCCTGACCGCAAGAACGACAATGATGAATACTTAAACGCGAACCAAATTGAGCGGAACATACGTTGCATGAGACACATTGATCATCAGGCTGCCAATAATCTGGTCGAGCAAGAGATTTAACGAGCTCTGTGTAGAGAAACAAGTGAAAAAAAGATTCTGTTAAAGTTCAGAAATTAATTAACTAAATTGGGAGCGTGACACTGGAAGAAAACTGTATAATATATGATAAATATAATGACAAATTTATGTACATATCTTTTTAGGTCTGTGTAAACAGACAATTAGTTTTATTACTTATTTATTTTAACACATAGATATTGGTACAAGGAGGCACCGAATACATATGCGCCACACAGATCTCATTTGATTTGTGTGAGGGCTGTGATACTGCCCGGGTTCCCAAACCGAAGTAGACAATAGGAGAATGTAGATGAGAAACAAGCCAAGAATAACATGTACACATTGGATAAAACTATGTACCTTATTCCACTATAATGAAAAATTTTTCAATGCCAATCATTGAATTCATTCGTCCATAAAGGAAATAGTATACAGTCACATATGCAAATATCGTTTACATAGTGATCTAATATGTCAAGTCCACGTTAATGAGCCACATGCTTTGTTAAAATATACACCAATAACGATGTAATCGTTGTACACAACACAAGCATAAAATTCATCACTGTTATAATGTACAATTATTTAAGATTTTCTATTCATAAGAATATCTTAGTATGATTTTCGAATAATGGGGGATATATGTAACTGTAGTCGTAAATTCTCAAATGAAATATATTATAACATCCCAGTCAATAACCTAAGTGGAATTTCAGAAAACGTTTATAAATGGATGAGTGTATTATTGATCGAAATCAACCGGTTGCAAATCAGAATTCGCTTCACTAAACCTAAGGATATAGAGAGTGTACCTCATAGCCGAATAGTATACTATACTTGGGTTATGGAGTAATCTTTGATTTTTCAAGTTCAGTGTCGGAGATTGATACAGTCAATACAGGCATTTTCAAAATTTCATCAAATTGTAATCATACATTCAATGAACTTCAATATACTATATCTTCATTATGATAAAATGTGTATGGCACCATTTGATGACGTGTAAATAGACCTATAAGCTACATCTCGAAATAATTAGAAAGTAGATTACATTATGGAGAATATCAACCGTACTTGGACTAATATTTTATTTATGTATGAAAAACAATTAATTAAATTCTCACAAATAACCAAGACGGCATATTACTTTCTAGTTAAGTTAAAAAGTTGAGTGTCAGCACACACAAAAACAGTCCATCATATATGATGCAGAGTTCATATATATGTCTGCCTCCCCCTAACAACAAATAACATGAAGAAATGGGAATATTCTCTTAATAAGGACCAAAATTATAGGATCGTTTGTCAAATATGTGTACTTTTTACTCCATAATACAGTTGGTCATATGACGTCAGTATTGTACACATGCATTACACTAAGCAAACTGAAAGTTCCGTGTTTTTACTCACAAAAATCCGGTTAGACATGTGCCAAAATAACTCAATATTAATTGGATTCATTTCAAATTACAGTGGAAAGTAATAACAATATGTACAGAATACCTTTAGGTCCAGTATATATTGGTGCTATGTAATCAGCTGTAGCAGACAACATTTCAATTACCTTACGACCAGTTAAAGAATTGTTATTGATTTGAGGATTATAATTCATTCCAGATACACGAGTTTTTGAATCGATACCTTTATCTTGTAATCGAGCATCATAGCACCTGAACAAACGTAGTAAAAGATTAATGAATTCATTTAAGTAACTAGTTAAATAGGATATAAATATTTGAATTCTTTGAAATGGAAGTTACATGTGAAAGAAAAGACATGATACTATAACCATCCGTGATGATTAACATTTCTGTACATTGAGTAATTGAAAACAAAGCCTAATCCATAAGAAATTCAGAATTTCAAATGAAACAAAAATTGTATTTCAGCAAATGAACTCATCTACAAGTTACATTTGTCATTGTTTCACAACAGATTTATGATATTGTGACGAAAATCGTTCTGCCTGTCACTAGTTTAGAGAAAATCAACAAACAACACAAGAGTTATACATTATTTTTAAGTGAGGTAGTTAAGTTATTTAGATGAAGTTTTAAGTTACACAAAAAGATAAACGAAAATACTAACACAAACACCTCACAAAAATATCAAGAAGCTACACATAACAATAAAAGGAGAAACGCAACGCAGATCGTAAAGTAGACTATACATAAAGAGAAAAACAGAATAATTAGTAGTAAAATATTGGGAATTCGGAGAAAAAGAAGAGTGTATTGAACTATTGTGATAGTTTCACAGATAGTTCACACGTTGTCTCTAAGCATTGATAAACATAAACCTGAAGACCACACACAAGTAAGCCAAACTCCCCCGCCTACGCTATTCCAAACAGTTAGAGGCTCTGTGAAGTGACATCTATTCTTAACCAGGCTACAACTTAATCTTACCCCAGTCAATATTCGACAAGGGCTAAAGAAAATTTATAAATGAATTCGCCGTCCCCAGTAGATGTAGGTGCTACCCAATCTAGTCGACCCACTTAGCCCCTTTCCGAGAACGTGTTAGTTACACATAAGTTGAATCGTACGTGCACACTGCTGAGAAAACATCTTGAATAAAATGCCTAAAATTTTCACATATCTTTTACATCATTTTAGATCACAGAGAAGCAGAGAACTAACTGATATCCAGCACAGTCGAATGCTAATATACAGTTAAATACAATATAACACTTAAAAATAAAATGATATTTCTCAGATAAACTGAAATAAAGTTTCCGAACTTAGACATACGTTCGTCGACTTCCAGTAGTGTTGATACTTACAGCCTGTCTTGCATCAAAACCTAAGGATTTTATTTTCGTGACTGTATGTATCCCCCTTAAATATCATCACGGTAAAAAAGAACATTCAGATACACAATCATATGTAAGATGTGTTTTCGAGATGTAATATACACAGAAATTCCAATGTGATCCTATAGAATCTGTACAACATAAAGATTAACATATTAAGTGATTCTATTACGATGACAAGAAGCCGTAACTAACAATAACACTACATATGGTAATTGACTTATTAAAAACTGAGTTTACGGAAAAAATATGTGCTATCAGGATCGTAAACCTTCAAACTTCTAACAGTGAAGCAACTTTTTTCATTTGGCTCAATCCAATGTGAGATTGCATCAATGACCAGGTACCCACTTGTCTATCTATTAATGAATCATATTTTTAGTGTGACGTCTAGTAATAGAACTCACCAACACAAAATTAACGAACGCAGAGTTTGGAAGTCGTTACCGTACAATGCAAGACAGAATTAGTTACAGTATTTAAAAACTACATTCCTAGTGATGTAATCTGTGGCAAGCCCATTTGGCCACTGTATCATCTGTCTATTCATTGTAACTTAGACTCGTAATTCACTATGTTAATTTCGGTGTGTATGATCGAATGCATGTCTGTACATTAACTTTTAAACTATTTTCCTATTGGTTTCAACGTGCAGATAATCGATAATTTATCTACACCCGATTAACCCTCAAATATATATGGATTTTTAACAAACTCACACTCTCTCTGTTCCCATCGTGTGCTTGCTCACAATACGCTTGTGGATTATCATTATTCATTAATAATAAACTATCTCCATAACTGGTGTTCAGGCTTCTTAATAATCTCGAGTAAATCCGTAATTCTACTAGGAGATTAAGCCTACCTTAAATACTCAGTTACGGAATATTATTATTTGGAGTCAGATATTAAGGACCTTATCAACAACATATTGGTGACCCGCCTTTAGAACGCGCACCATTTTCCTCCAAAGTCTGCTGCATTCTCCTCAAGAGTATCATAAAGAACTTCATATTGGAATTATTATTATAATTAATAACAATCCATTGACAGTCATAATAAATTCACTCATAATATTTTCCCTTTGGAATTATTACTGTATATTCTCATACATATACCCAAAGTGACAATTTTTCTTTTCGGTGAGTCTTATATATATTTTTTTGTTGTTATTTTTGATTTCTCTTCATATTGTATATTACAATCCTCAGCTTATTATTACTATTGCTTTTTCGTATCATGGCACTTGATAATTCGTTAAGCCTTTCATCTAAATCTATTTCCGTGGGTGCCATCTCTGTACCTTTACCCATTTTTAATCCACGAAAGGCTGAACTCTGGTTTGCTCGTTTGGAAAGCTTTTTTGTTGCAAACAAAATCACAAACCAGAGTACGAAATTTAGTTATGCGAATTCACTGCTGCCAGATGACGTCATTGAACAAGTGCCGGATGTCATTTTTAAGCCGGATCCTGACTCACCATTCGATTGTCTAAAAAGAGAGGTCATTCGTGTCACATCTCTCACCGACCAACAGACAATTGATCAACTTTTAGCCAACGTAGAGCTAGGTGACAATACACCGTCACAGTTAAAACGCCACATGACAAACTTATTAGGAAATCGTACAGTAGACAAACGTCTACTATATCAATTGTGGCTCAGACGTCTCCCTCAAAACATTCAACAGATACTAGCAATTGGAGACGAAGACGTTGATTTTGATAGACTAGCAGACATAGCCGACAGAATTTACGAACGGTCCAAGACTCACCTTGTATCTCAAATCCAATCAAGCTCAGCTGACGAGATCGCCGAGTTACGACGATCAGTTGAGACCCTTAAGAAACAGATAGCTCAGATCCAATTATTGAATGCCTCCCACAGCAAGCGTAGAGGAACATCCACAAGCCGTAGACGACGTAGTCCAAGCACTACTAGACACAACATTTGCTGGTACCATAGAACATATGGCAAACAAGCTAGAAAATGTACTCCGCCTTGTAACTTTGCAAGCACACAGAAAAAGGAACGTCAAGACCGTAGGTTAATGACGACTGCACTCACTGACCACAACTTTCAAGACAGTCGTCTATTATATGTTACAGACAAAAGAACCGGCACACAGTTTTTAGTCGACACTGGGGCAGAGGTTAGTGTAGTACCACCTACTGCACTCGAGAAAAACACACCTGACCCCAAACTAAAACTACAAGCTGCAAACAGGTCTGACATCAAGACGTACGGAAAAAGGCGGTTGCAATTAAATTTCGGTCCTAAATCTAATTTTTCCTGGAGTTTCATCATAGCGGACGTCCTCGTTCCTATAATCGGCATTGATTTTCTGCAATTCCACAAAATACTGGTAGATGTCAGAAATAGGAAACTTGTCCTTGCCGAACAGAGTAAGGAAATTAGAGGAATTATATCAAATGAGACTTCCATACATTTATTAGTTAAACCTCATCATGAGAACGACAAATACGTCAATTTACTTAATCAGTTTCCAGATTTATTACGACCGAGTTTCAAACACGACAAACCGACGCATACCGTCGTACACCACATAAAGACAGAGGGTCCACCTGTGTTCGCACGTCCAAGACGCCTTGATCCCTCTCGTCTGGCTATCGCAAAGAACGAATTCAACAAAATGATTGAGTTGGGCATCATACGCCCCTCCGATAGTCCGTGGGCATCACCGCTTCATATGGTACCTAAGAAAAACTCTTCCGAAGTTAGACCATGCGGTGACTATAGAGCTCTCAACAGCCGGACCATACCAGATAGATATCCTCTCCCACATCTGCATGACTTCACTCATAGCCTATCTGACGTGTCGATCTTTTCAAAAATTGATCTCGTCCGTGCTTACCATCACATTCCAATTCATCCGGACGATGTTCCTAAAACAGCCATTACTACCCCCTTTGGACTATACGAATTCGTCCGCATGCCTTTCGGATTAAGGAATGCTGCACAAAGTTTCCAGCGTTTTATTGACCAAGTGGTACGGGGCTTACCGTTTGTGTATGCTTACATAGATGACCTACTTATAGCAAGCAAAGATGAAAATGAACATCTAACTCATCTGAAAATGCTTTTTGAGAAGCTAAACGAGTATGGGTTAGCGGTCAATCCTGACAAATGTGAGTTCGGAAAACAATCCCTCACCTTTTTAGGTCACGTACTTGATAAGCAAGGCATTAAACCAGTTCCTGAGGAAACACAAGCTATCAAAAATTATCCTTTGCCTGATTCATTCAAGAAACTACGACGTTTCCTTGGGATGATCAACTTTTACAGACGTTTTATCCCTAAATGTGCAGACTTAGCAAAACCACTAACTGATTTATTAAGGGGACGAGCTAAATCATTAGCAATGACACCGCAAGCAATTCAAGCATTTGACCAGTTGAAACGCGCTTTAAGCACAGAGGCATTACTCGCACGACGAAAGATTGATGCACCTTTAGCAATAATGACCGACGCTTCTAACGTAGCAGTAGGTGCTGTACTTCAGCAACGTGTCAATGAACAATGGCAACCCCTTGCATTTTTCTCAAAAAAGCTCAACGCAACGCAAACGAAATATAGCACATTCAGTAGAGAACTGTTGGCTATCTACTTAGCCATCAAACACTTTCGCTACATGTTAGAAGGCAATTCTTTCACGATATATACTGATCACAAACCCCTAACTAAGTCCTTGATGCACAATCATGATAAATATAGTCCGCGCGAAATTCGTCAACTAGAATTCATTTCACAATTTGCAGCTGATATACGCTATATTAAAGGCAACGCAAACGAGGCAGCAGATGCACTATCGAGATTAAATATCAATACCTTCTCGATCCCTGATATAGACTATCAAGAAATGGCAAAGCATCAAAAGCTCGATACGGAGCTACAAAAACTTTTGCAATCTAAGGAAACGAAATTATTATTCCAAAACATCCCCATAAACAACAAGGACACCTTAACTTGTGATAACTCAACAGGTAAAACTCGCCCTTTTGTACCTTTCGGTATGAGACGAAATATTTTTGAGAAAAAACAGACAACTGTAAAACCGTCTAAACCTGCAGCAGAGCAAGCACCATTCAAACTACCTGCAACAAGCAACACTTCAAATCGAAATTCAGCAGCAGCACAAACTACAACAAGATCAGGAAGGAGAGTACATTGGCCAGATAGGTATGTAGCAACCACCATATTTATCTAGACCAAATCCTGAGACTACTCTTATAACACATAAAAATCCTATTTTATTTTGATTACTATTTTTTTTATTGGCCCCACGGATCATCATTCTGCTTACATTTTAACTTTATACAATTCATTAATGTTAAATATACACTTGTATATACATGATATGAAACGTTTCAACACACAAGCTGTTATTACAATTTTACGCTTACTCATCATATTGAGTTGTACTTTCATTTTAAAAACAGTTCCGTTCTTTATCTCTTTGTCGAACATAGATGTTAATCCAATTTTTTTTTGGTACATAAAAACATCAATGTTCTGGATGGGAGCTTATGTGGCAAGCCCATTTGGCCACTGTATCATCTGTCTATTCATTGTAACTTAGACTCGTAATTCACTATGTTAATTTCGGTGTGTATGATCGAATGCATGTCTGTACATTAACTTTTAAACTATTTTCCTATTGGTTTCAACGTGCAGATAATCGATAATTTATCTACACCCGATTAACCCTCAAATATATATGGATTTTTAACAAACTCACACTCTCTCTGTTCCCATCGTGTGCTTGCTCACAATACGCTTGTGGATTATCATTATTCATTAATAATAAACTATCTCCATAACTGGTGTTCAGGCTTCTTAATAATCTCGAGTAAATCCGTAATTCTACTAGGAGATTAAGCCTACCTTAAATACTCAGTTACGGAATATTATTATTTGGAGTCAGATATTAAGGACCTTATCAACAACAAATCAAATATTATTAAAAATTTGATCAAAATGTTTCTCCGTGTGAAATGATATCCAACTTAAACACATTTATAAGAAACAATATACTTTAAACTGAATGTCCTTGAATTCTAAGGTCAGAAAAGTCTATGTAGAAGGCCGCTACATCTGATATTAGGACAAAGTTTTAAAAACCAGTGCACAGAGTTAAGATATAAGAATTACATGAATACAATCTGTTTTTAGGTAGAAACTAGATAACTGAAAGATTTTTGATCGTGCACACTTTTATGCAGTGTTACTCAACGTCATATGAAAAACGAACACTTACTGGTCACAAACACGTACACCATCACTTCCATATCCTTGATCCGGAACAGGTAAACGGCCAGTTGAACACTTGGCACAGACACCTCTACCACAAGCTCGACAATGATGTTTTGATAAGTCATCAATAAAAGGTTTTAATGGTTTAGTAGAACTTTTCTCTTTATTTAGCGAATCTGAAAACGATGACGACCGATTAAGCATTGAATTATCTTTGCCAGTAAACATCTTATCTTTCTGAGAACTATCATCAACAAAAGATGGTGTTGGTTGCTTTTTATCGGTAGCAGATTTTTGTCTAACAAGTGAATTACGGTTGCAAACAGAATCATCTGATGAACTTTGAAATTCAACCTTACAAACAGCACAAGCTTTAATACTGGAATTAGGTTGCCAATACCGAGGAGCCACGCTGTCAGCAATAAGATCTCCCAAACGACGTGCTGGAGGACCAGCCAACTGACTTACTTGACTAGAAACGACAGTTAGTCCATCTAACAATAACTGACTAACTGGATGAGTACCCTGGATTTCGGTAAACAAAAAAGATCAAATAATTATTAAAATAACAAGAGTAATGGTGGTATTATGAACATAACTTAGAAATAATACGATTCATGTTAGAAAAAATATGATTACTGACATCACTTGAAACAAATACATATAAGATATTTGTACTCCGATGGAATTAAGAAAACGTTTCTGAACTTAACAAAAACTAAATTATTTATACATGTACAAACAAATGATAAGTGCAAACACTAATAATAAAAGTCCTTTTTTATAAACTACAATTTTATGAAAACTAATACCCTAGATAAAGAGTATACTTGCAAAGCACATTTTGAAGAAAGTTTAGATGAAATAAACTAGTTTGATTTAAAAACCGTGAATTTTAAGCATCACATATATTACTTGGTCTTCTACTAGCAAACGAGAATAAAATTTAAATGATAATGAAAACGATAACACATAATTCACTAATACATATTAAAATATCAGTGGATCGGTAAACAAATAATTTGTTGACATTCTAAATGTTTCCCGACAGTTAGATACATAATTCATTTGTATTGGTTATTCGAATCTTTTCACTGACTAGGTTCTTTTGGCATATGGGTATTATGTGAGAATTACCTTGATCTTATCAAGCATTATAAACAATAGGAAGATTCAGATAACCAACACAATGAATTAAATTTCATTCCATCGAACAAGCCATTGTCGATCTGGACTCAGTAGCTAAGTGAATAACGCGATGGCGTTAGTAACAAACGACACTAGATCCGAGTCCCGGAGTGAAGATTAACCCTGAGATACATACACACAGCCGAAGAGTCTCAAATATGACGAAAAGCGCGTCCTGAATTTCACTACTAGACACCATCAAACTCTGCTTATAATTCAATACTTATTATTTAAATAAAATCACTAGAATAGAAGAATGTTGTGTTGGATACTATGAAATCCCAACTGAAAATGACGTCCAAATAAATCAGTTTATTTGCTAATTAACCCCAAATGTAAAGCGTAGTTGTTTTTGGTAAATTCGAAACAAGTACCGATATTTCCAGATAGACCATTAAAATTGTAATCAAGTTAAGTAAATAAATCCTGAACAAAAAACTGCATGAAACTTAATTTATTAGGTCGACGTAACTCAAAAACCACATGTACGTTAGTGTACTACCTCGAATCATTCCTAGCAAATGAAGAATAATAATATTACTTGACAGCTCATATAATCGAATGATGGTTAACGTTTCAGTCTGACTCCTTAGTTCACAAATGATTAGATGATAAGCTTCACCACAATGATACATTCGACAATAATTATATAATAACCATGATAATATGTCTGCTATAACACGTAAGTCAATGTTTTTTTAAAAATATGTATAGTTGTCGTTCAGTATATTGTCTCTCTAGTACTTATTTATCCGTTTGATATCATAGTTCTAGAAACATCATCAAACTAGTACACGATATTTTCTCCTTCAAATTACATTAACTATTTGTACTACATATATTGAATTGAGAAAAATAGTTTACCGAGAGTATTGACTTTTCTCCTTGCCAAACATGTACGATTTCCCAATGTACTTGAGGATTCATTTCTGGCTCTACGTTACCAGACCAGTAACCACGACTACGATAGATGGTGCCATGCCTTGGGCATTCTAAAACATAACCAGCCCAAAGATATTTTACAACAGCTGACAAAGCATTGGTATTTGACTCACCACTCTTAGGAACCATCATTGTTTTTTGACCATAGGCATAACATAGCTTAAACGAAATAATAAAAATATAAAATTGGATTTTCATATCAAGAAAAACTCATTGAATACAACAAAATATTTAATATTTACACAAAAGTAATGATTTATACATACTTTGCGCAAAACAATTATGTTAGAAATATTTTAAAAGGCAACAATAACCGATTAAAGTGACCCAAATTGATTGTAACTAATGGAAATAGTCCAAAAAATGCTATCCTTGCAGTAACAATACCTGCACGCTTATGTACCTAAACAAAACAAAAATAAATATTTACAGTCCACTCAGAAGCCTGTGAAGCTCCATTGAAGATATCGAGACGTTAAAAGTGAGGCTGAAAGAATCTGAAGCCAAAGGAGCAAAGGGACTACAATGGTGTGGTAGCTGATTAGTTCATATCTACTACCGCATTCCATACCGACAGAACCACTTACCAAGTATAAAGAAATTAAACCAATCAAAGTAACACATGTTTGGAGCTCTGATTTTCTTAACAACAACCAACAAAAAAGTGACGATTCAGCTGATAAATCCCAATTAATTAAGAAAAATATGTGCTGAATTCTATTGAGATATGAACAACTGAAGAAATCATCATCGCCAATAGTTTTAACCAGATCGAGGATGAAAGTCGCTAATTTATTAATACTGATGTACTAAAAATTTATTTTCTTACACAGTCAAGTCTTTTCAACAATAATAACTTTCAATAATATAAAGAATTAATTCTAAGTAAATTAACTTTATCATGGCAATGATAGCAATGAAATTTATTATTCCGAAAAAGTTGTTTTTTTATAAATAATAAGTTGAGTAACTAACTATTACATTACCGAACAAAAAATAACAATACTGGTGTTGGAATTTGATAGTAATAAAGTAAGATTATATGCAAATTATAGGAGTATAAACTTGTTTGTGTGAGTGCATATATATAGTGAGATAGCTTATATATATTATAAGATCATAATGCACAAAGAGTAAATTCTAACAGGATTATTCAAAAGACTTCAATTCTTTCATTTGACAATACTCTATACAGATATTCCCAGTAAGTACACTACATTTTCGTGTACCACATGACTTCCGCATAAAATCAGGACTCTCATAGTAGCGACATCTGTGGGAATCCAGAAAATCTATTTAGTCAATAGCTTCTCACTTACCTTACAAAAGTATAGTTTATTCTGAAGCGATGGTTCGTAACGACACGGTGACGCACTAACGCCATTGGAACCCACATATTCAGCTTTATGACCGACATTGTTTGACGTATGGTTAACACTCAAGCAACATCTAACACCACAGCTGATACATTTGCATGGACACGTGAAGTACTCTTCAACAAATGTTGGTGACGAGCAGGGAAGATCGGATGAAAAACGAGTGTTAAGTGCTTGAAGGATATGAAATATATGCACCAGTTTGCGTGGAGCTCTGACAGATATATCACGTATCTTTTTGGCAACCATAGAGGCTAGAGGCTAAAGCAAAGAATCAACGATCATTAAAAAGCAATATTATTTCAATACTCAAAAAGATGAATGCCAACAAATAAAAATAATCATGAGTTAACTAATTCCACTGATGTTCAAATGTTCTTTTCCGACAGTCAGTCCGTCAGTCCAACAATATACATCTTGTCAAGGTTCTTAACTAACAGAATTGAATTTAATAAGCAAACAATTCAATGCAGTTTGAATCTTAATTATCATAACCTACTTCAATAAAGCTCTTTACAAACGTAACAGAAAAGTTCGACTCCCTACACTGTGGATAAAAGTGAAAACTACCAATAAGCTTAACATTCAGCCACTTAAGATGAATTCATAGACAAGTAGACAAATAAAAAAACAAAGACAACGATCAGATGGGAAAGACAAACCAATCTCAAAAATTCATTTATATAGTATACAATGAAATTATATTTTCAGTCATAACTAAATCATGCCTCATCGAAACAACAAACGGATCAATGGTGGTTTAACACTGATCAGTTTAGAACTTAAATGAAACTCAACAATCTCCACAACCCTATACTTACGATATATTATATCGCTTGTTGAGTGAATACTCTACGGGGACTTAAAACACTTTGATTCATCGTGTTTATTTGCTGAGGCACGAGTGCATTTCAATAAGTAACTTGCTTGACAGTACAGGTTATGAAAATGCCGTTTCGACTAACAAAATTAATTTGTTACTATTCATACGACTATAACTACTATCAGTCTAATTATCTAAGAGCATTTCATACCGCTATGATAATCCAAAATATTTCATCTATCAACGGTAACAAAAGAGATCAAAACCAAAAGAAAACTCTATAGTGCAGTGTAAGAATAATGTAGATCACAACAGCGATAAGAAAATGTTATTGTTATATCCTAACGAAGAATAAATGAATGATAACTGCTAGAAATTATCAATAGACTATTATTACATATATTCTTGTTGGATAATTATTAAGTAACTAGCTTTTATTACAAGCCTTCATCTGACCCTATTGTCTAATGCTATACGATTTACCATTTCTAACTTATTCATAATTTATTAGTCGCAGTAGACTATACAGCCAATTTTGACTTGGTCTTGTATAACTATTTTTCGTTTAATGGTGTGACGCGGTCTAGTGTGCTTGTAGATAGACCAAGTATGTCTGAAAGATACGATTCATACAGCGAAGACTGATATTTGTGTTCTGGACTGAGCAGGTCGGGCTAGGCGAAAGGTTGCTATACAGAGTACCAATAAGGACTCAGAGTAGAATCAAGGCTGCTCGCGCCGGTTAACGAATCATTGGTTTAGCACAGGAACGAGGTCATAGAAGTCGACATTCTGGTTGGAAGTCTTGTCACGTGATATCTGACAGGTCATAGAACATAACAGTTACTGAAGCTTAATACACACGGTAATGCCAACCCCGAAATAACTCTCGGACGCAAAACATCGAGTTTATACTTTGAGTGACCTCTTGATAGTGAATGCCTTGTATAACCCAAAATATAGTAAATACTTCGTCCTGAGTCATAATGTCGTTGTACTCATCATATAGATTGAGTTATTTTCTATATCTGCAGATATCACCTGTTAATCATACATGACGATTTATAAGCACAAAGCATAAATTTTTGGGACAGAGATTTTTATACACTACCTACTACTAAAGAACACGTGAAACGTTTCTCAGTCACGTGAATGAAGTAACTTAAACAAAACAAAGAATAAACTTAAAATGTCATGAATATTTATTATGTTAGTTATAAAAAATTACGAAAATGGTTTAAACAATATTATTTTTACAGACTTCACAAGAATAAATCAGTAACATTTTATGTTTAGTGTTCTGCATAGTAACACTTTTAGAGCACCATGTGTCAGTCAACTACAACGTAGGATCAGGCACATATATATATATATCGGTCCAAGTTGCCAAACCTCATTAGCACAACAAGATAAACACCAAAATTCATAGAAGCAATTACTTCAATGATGGTAATATATAAAAGAAAGATTGCATATAAGGATATAGTACAGGAAGAAAGAATTAGTTCGTAGAAAGAAAGATATGAAGCAATTTTAATCTCACAGTTTAAGGGAAGACAGAGAGTGTATACACCGACGCCATTATGATCGATTCTGAGCCCTGTCACACAAAGTCTCCAACCATTGGTTACGATAGTTACGAGGACCCCAACTAAGTAGTCTGCATCTACCAACATGGATGAGAGAAGTTAGTGACTTCGAGAGCTGATGCCACGTTTTGGTTCGGCGGCCCTTAACTTTCTTCCAACAATCCCCACCACCAGTCAGCTTTGTGCGTCGTGCTAATCGATGTTCAGGCATACGTAAAACGTGGCCCAACCATCTCAGTCGATTAAGATTTACAACCTCATCAACTGACTTACCATCATTTCCTAACCTCACTATTACTTACACAACGACCCCAGCAGATGTGAGCAATATTTCTAAGACATCTGTGATCAAATACTAGTAACTTACGAGTATCTTCTACTGTCAATGGTCACGTTTCGCAGCCGTAAAGTAGGACAGAACGAACTACTGAACAGTATACTCGTCCCTTAATTGATCGACGGATATCTGGCCTTCGCCATAGGTGAATTCGTGCAGAGATTTCGTCAGACACCAACCCATTAGGGCTGATGAGACTTCCAAGATAAGTGAAGTTGGCGACGCATTCGACTACTTAACTCCCTATCCTTAATTCAGGTGTTGACGCAAGCCAGTCCTGAAGCAATAATTTGCGTTTAGAGGGGGAAAAACGCATCCCAAATATCGTGGCATTGTTGCTCAGTGCTACCAAAAGAATCTGCATTTTATCATCGTCTTCGCCAAACAGGACTATATCATCTGAGTATTCTAAGTCCATAAGTGGACCTCCTGGTAGGAGATCAACGCCCGAAAATTCAGTCGACAATAACGTTATTTCCAGCAGTTGGCTTATGATGGAATTAAACAAAAATGGTGATATTTGACAGCCACGTCGGACACCACTAGAGGTTGCGAAATCAAATGACAGCTCGCCATAAGCTCTGACTCGACTGGTAGTGTTCGAGTAAAGAGCCTTCACGAGGTTTATGTACTTCTGAGGTAAGCCTTTCAATAATAGATACTGCCACAGAACTTCTCAGTCCACAGTCAAATGCTGTTTTTAAGTAAAGAAAAACTATCATTGTCGGACGGCGATAAGCATGCCTGTGTTCTAAAACCTGACGAATAGTGAATATGTGGTCGATGCAGCCACGACCAGGTCTGAAGCCAGCCGTATTTTCACGTGTTTGCAGTTCATGAGTCTTTGTTAGGTGCCCGATAATTATTGAGGTCAGTATTTTAGATGCTATATTAGTCAAATTAATCCCTCTATGGTTATTACAGGATAATTGTGACCCCTTCTTATATATTGGGGCAATCAGTGATTGCAACCAGTCAGATGGGATAACGTCCAACTCCCAGATTTTAGCTACAATATTAGTTAATCTAATCGCTAAAACTGGACCGCCATCCTTAAAGACCTCTGGAGTCAATCCATTTGGACCAGTTGCTCTTCCTCGTTTCAGACTAGCTATAGCCTTTTGAACTTCGGTTAGAGTTGGGGGACCTACTTCAATGTTCTATTCAGGTTGTCTGGGAATGGTGGGCAGTTGCAGAGTACCTGAAGGCCAGCTAAACTGCTCATATGAGCATTAATTGCGCTCTTTTAAGGAATTTTATCACGTTGAATTACTTCGTATTTATTAGCGCTCAGCAAAAAGATACATCTGCAGTTCAGAACATATAAGGGTGTCAATCACTGATATTATATCCCAATGATAGCTTATAGGCGTATGATGTTAAATGATACATGTTTGAATCCCTGAAAGAATGGTATTCTTCATACTCCATATATGATATAGAGCCTAATACATATAACCAAATTTTACTCTCCGGAAACATAATCAACTATAGTCAGCTCTATGATCATACTTCAAAATGGATCACTAAAATGTATCGAGACTAGAAAACATAACATTGATTGTTATCTATATAATAGCCTGTTGAATTACTGTTAAATGTTGTTTAGAATAGTACTATGATACCATTAATGAGAACAACCAAAATGTACAATTTATAACAGGAATTTATACAAATTTGAACCCGATATATTGGATTCCTTCTAAAATATTAAGATCACAAAACTACCACCCAGCTGTTATAAAAAGACAATCAAGACCAAAACGTTATTGTGCCAATTTGAGTATTATATGTTCTTGGATAGATAATTTTTCTCTTATTATCTTGTAAAGCCTAAAGAACAGTTATTATATTTTCTGTATTCTAAATAATGAATATAGTTAATGCTTCACTGTTAAGATATCCACTTTACTATACATCTTTTTGATTACCTATGGTTCTTAACATGACAAGGGAGAAATGAATCAGTGTAGCGATTAATCTGAAGAACACAGAGCTTCAAGTACATTTAAGTCATTTTGTTGTTTTCTCATCTTCTTTATTCGTTAAGCTAGGTAGGTCATTTTTTATGCCAACTAAAAATTCTTTACACTGTATACAATGATAACAAAAATTTATCCACTCTGCAGTTAAAATAACAAACGGAGGTCATGGAAACAATGTTTAGAGTATCCAAATTGTCCTAATCAATATGACTAGCTAACTAAGTATATATTTATGTACTCAGCTTTCAACAAAACTTTTCATGGGTTTTCAGTGTTATTAATGCTAGCTGGACGAAAAAACCCATATGTGTAACGGAATCGAAAACTATAATTGATCAGAGAGCTGAGTACTCTGGTCATTACGTAGCCGCTCAACAATACAATTAATTATGATAATAAAAAGATTATGGTTATTATGAACTCTTACCTGGAAATTTGTTGGAGGTACTTTAGTTTGTGTTCCAACATACACAAGTGAAGAAAATGCATTCGCGTTGCGTCTCATTGCCACAAGGCGTTCTGTCAGAAACCTTGAACCTATTTTATGTTTTCATAAAATGATAATCGTAAAGACGATAATAAATACATGTTTTGAAAATAAGTACATCACAAAGAACAATATCTACAACCAATAAGAACCTCAAAATCTGTACTAAAATAATAAGGTTGAATTATTATGACAGTATAATTAAGCGAGAAATTTCGATAACTCACAAATATAGCATCTACCACCAACATACTAAGATAGCTCTAATAAGAGTATAATTAAGAGATTGTAATTAAAAACTCGAGGTGTCTAGTTTTCTGCAAAACTGAGATAACCGATAACAGTGAACTATAAATTTATGCAGAATATAAATATCAAAATACAAAAATTTACTAAACCAGCTTGCTGAAATCCGTACACGACAGAATATCATTAACAACTGATTTATTTCACAGAACTGAAGATATTATGAGGAAATAGAACAAGCACTTATGAAGCACTTATTAATCCAATTTTATTAGGATGACAGCTTAACAAGAGAGCTTTAGAAAAGGTCATTCAAATCCTGACAACCAGACCGGTGTTTCATGATGAAATCAGTGAATAATCAATGAAGATTTTACAGACTAGCAGCAAACATTATACCTCCAACCTGTACATTACGTTAGCATTTCCTGAGGATAGACGTGGAAATAAATTTACTCCATTGTGATGAACCGATTTCGATTTTCAGACAATTCAAATAGCTACCCGACCAGAATACTACACCTGTCTTTAAGAGCCATTCACCTGTTAATATTTAAAACGCATAATCAGATTGGAAGCGAGTAATGTATGATTACAGAAAAGCACACCAGTGAGAACGCCAACCGAATGCAGTGATCGATGAAAAAAAGACGGAGAGCGCTTCGCAAAACAGTAGTGACGATTGTTTCTGAATTCGGTATGTAAAACTCTAAAAACGGAATAATAGTTATCTGACCTCTAACCAACAAGTCCCTAATGGTCGCTGAAATGACCCATGTATAGAAGGACACTCCATACGACCATTCTAGTCCTTTGTAATTACAAAATGTCCATTGAGAGTGACTTTTTGAGTAGACAAAGTAGAATGGACGAGTTTTTTAATTGCAATGGTGATGTGAACTACTGTAGCGCGGGTAAAAGTAGCAAAAAGATATTGCCTCATTTATTGTTTACTAATCTTCAATTTCAGTAACACAAGTAATTGTTAGTGAGAATTAGACTGGTTAGTGTGGTGTGTGCTACTGATGTCGACAGACATAAGTAGTATGTATCACAATCGAAAGTGAAGTGTCTGGCGGCAGAAGGTTGAGAACATCAAAGAAAAGAGAACGAGAACAAAGAATGATTGGTGTGGAATCGAAAGAACAATGAAGTTTGAGATGATTGATTGACATGTGCAAAAAGAACAGTCAAGTTTAAGACAACTGATAGACATTTTGTAAATGAAATATTTACAGTATGGTTCTCAAATTTTAATAAAATGTTCTGTAATTTTACATTCAAATACATTCGACTGTTCCCTCTTGTGTTCTCGTTCACTACAGTTAGTACTTTTTCCGTACTAACACACGGTCCACCCAAGACATCAAAGTCAGGAACGAATATCACAGGATATATAGATAAATCCACATCAAAAACCTGAGGAACAAACAAACGGAAAATAAAAATAGCAGTAACCCACTGGAATCTTCAGGACAGGTCTTTGAAATGATATACTATCCAGCCCCCCCCCATTGTTGTTATTTATTTATTTGAATACATAAATATTGATACAAGGGGGCACCAGATATACATGCGCCACGCAATAATAATGAGAATGGGAAGAGAAGAACGTAAGGTGCGCAAAAGAAAAAAAGAGAACAATAACGACCATAGATTAGTGTATGGTAGTGTAATAATAATAGTAATAACAGTGGGGGAAACGGAGAGGTACAACCAAAAGAATTCTTTCAGTTAAGGAAGATACAACCACTTTTTATGAAGTAAAAGGTTACAGCAGGATCGCCACTGACTTATATTCTGAGCCATCTGATAAGGTCTCTAGCCACTGTGTTGCACCATCTCTAGAACCCCAGCCAGGGAGTCGTGAAGGACCGACAGAAGCCAGCCCTTTGCAGCTTTCTTTCATACCACGACACCATATCATACACTGACCACCTCTCCGCTTCTTCCAAACAGTCCCAGAGTCGTCAAACAATCCCCGACGTGGAATTCTCTGGGACGACATTCGTAGAACATGTCCAAGCCACCGAAGTCAGTGTTTCAAGATGGTGACACCAATTGAATTATCATCTCTGTGCCCGAACACACGATGCCGGACCTCTGCATTACTAACATGGTGTTGACACTGGATGTCAGAAATCCTTTGGAGACAACGATGATCAAACACAGAGAGTCGTCTAACGTCCTCAACTCGGAGAGGCCAGGTTTCACAAGCATAGAGCAGAACTGCTCTCACCAAAGCGTTGTAGATCCGACCTCTTACAGCCAGACTGACATCACGAAGGCGCCAAAGATGGCCCAGATTAGCATAAGCCGCTCTGGCTTTCACTATACGTGCATTGATCTCATTACTCACACTCCCACCAGTATTTATGCACCTACCTAGATACACGAACTTCTCGACTACTTCTATCTGCTCACCATCCAGGGTGAGTACAGGATTAGAATCCTGCCAGTCTTGTAGAAGTACTTTGCACTTCGAAGGTGCGAAGCACATACCGTACCTACGGACACTGATTGCTGACTGATTAAGTGCGGATTGCATGGCTTGGGAATTATCGCACAGTAAGACAATACCACCCGCATAGCCAAGGTCGAGAATTCTCCAGACAATAGATGCACACCGCCATTACTTACATCCATCAGAGCTGTTTCCAGAATGTCATCGATGACAAAGGTGAAGAGGAATGGTGAAACTAGGCAACCCTGTCTAACCCCACTGCTCGAATGGAACAATGGAGAAAGGTGGTCATATGCCCTCACTCTAACTGAGGTGTTTGTATATAGGGCCTTTAAGATGTTAATGAACTTCTCAGGCACACGCTTCTTCAATAGACAATTCCAGAGAACAGTCCTGTCCAACGAATCGAAGACAGCCCTGATGTCAAGAAACATTACGATTGTTGGTCTCGCGAGTCAATCTCGGGTTTTGAACAACCTACGAAGTATGACGGAAGCCAATAGCTTGGACGCAATCGGAAGTAGACTTATCCCCCGATAGTTGTTACAGGAACGACGTGGACCCTTTCTAAAGATAGGGACAACTATCGACTCATTCCATGGTGTTGAAACACTCTCTAGTTTCCAGACTTTTGTAAACAACGTTGTCAGTTCCTTAACCAGAAAGTCACCACCATCTTTAAAAAGAGCCGGAGGTAAGTTATCTGGGCCTGGTGATTTGTAGCGCTTCAAGAGTTGGAGTTCCTTGCGGACTTCCGCCTCATTTGGTGGATCAGTCGTCACCGGCCATGGAGGGCAGGAAAGTCTGACCGATGTTGCCGGAGCAGCAGGCCAGTTGAACTGCCCTTCGAAAAATTCTGTCCATCGCCCAAGACGTCGATGGATGTTAGTGATTGACATCCCATCATCCTCGTAGATTAGTTCGCTCACACCAGACTTCTTGCTGCCAGTGGCTCGGATTAGTTGGAAGAGCTTCCGGTAATTACCAGATGCAGCTGCTGCTTCCATCAAATTAGCACGCTCCGACCACCAGGCTTCTCGGTCCTTACGCAAGCTTTGCCCGATTTCATTACGTAACAGCCTTCGTTTGTGGTCAAACTCACGGTCACTCGGAGTAGACAGACGATAAGTTGTAAGGAACCTGCAGAAACCCAGTGCTTATAAGCGGAACGTTTCGCGAACCCACAACTGACTATATCCGCCATTTTCATGGCGCCATGCACTTGCAACCAATGCGCATCCATATTTTTCGACAGAATGGTAGCTAGCTTAGAAACTAGCTCGGTTCGATACTTACTTGCAGCCAACTTGCTGATATCAATCCTTTGGTGACAGTCACTTCGTTGGCCACTGAAAAGTAAGGTAAGATTGGCACAGATCAGGGCATGATCAGAGCCCAGATAGGTACTCCAAAAAGAGCGGCAGTCTTGTACACAACCACGCCAGCGGTAGCTGATCGCGATGTGATCAATCTGAGTCCAGCCTTGAGATGTAGAGGTAGGACGCCAGGTGGTACATCGGCGATGACTGTGCCGAAAGTTAGTGCTAGCCAGAAACAGGTTGTGGTCTGTGCACAGTTGCAGTAGACGATCCCCATTATTTGTCCTGCGACCAAGAAGTCCCCATCGGCCACCTAAACGACTCTCTTCTGTGCCTAGACGCCCGACCTGAGCATTCAAGTCTCCGGCTAGTACTACAATATCTGTCGAACGCACTTTCTGGAGAAGAACAGTTAACTGGTGGTAGAATTCATCCTTGATTGCAACCCGGCTGCAATCTGTCAGGGCATAGGCGGAGATGACGAAAAAACATCGTTTCTCACGCCGATTTCTTCTCACTTTGATGGAACTTTCTAATCTAACAGCACATAACCGACTGTTAATGGAGATCCAATCGATTAGTGCTATCTCAGCTCTAGCGCTTAGTGCGACACCAACGCCAGCAAGACCAGATGAAGATGCCACAGGGTCCCCGGATAAACGCACGTAAAACAAGCTTTTTGAAGAGACAGATGAAGAGTGAATTTGTAGTACATCACTAGAATCTTGAATACGGGTCTCGGATAGACAACAAACGTTGATATTAAGACTTTCCAAAGACATAGCTAGCCCTATCTGTTGTCCGACTTGCGTAAGTGCGCGAATGTTGAAGACAGACAGTTTGAATGGTGTATGTGGTTTCAGAAAAACTCCTTCAGTCACAATTGATTGATCACTGGGTGGCGATCAATGTCATGCGTGTCTAGTCCTTACTAGTGCAGATCGAATGCTATCGATCATGTTGCAATGTGGCCACCAATCTAGGTGACTCGACACTGCGGCCAAATAGCAAGAAACCCGGGTCCAGGGTTTCCTGTCGATTACCTCCAACCACCATCTAATATCAATATATAGTGCCCGCAGTGTCGAGTCACCTAAATTGGTGGCCACATTGCAACATGATCGATAGCATTCGATCTGCACTAATAAGGACTAGACACGCATGACATTGATCGCCACCCAGTGATCAATCAATTGTGATTACATCTCAGTCCTACAGGAGGTCAGTCGCGGCTCGGATAACTGTGGTAACGTCTCTGACTGTGAAGCTGGGTGACACGAGATCGAATCCACCAGGGAGCACCAGTTCCCTCAAGATTACAGGTACACCTTGCTGATGAGTGCCAAATAGCACGAGACCCGGGTCCAGGGTTTCCTGTCGACTGCCTCCAACCACCATCTAAACTCCTTCAGTATTCGTATTTGTTGGTAGCATACAATTTTCAACCAGGCAGTAACTCGAGAACGTTTAGATAGAACCGAGTTTCCACCATAGGCTAGCTGCTTGTATTAGTCGAAAAATAAGGATACATAAAGTGGGAATAAAAGAGAGTGAATAAATGACGTAATAAATAATAATAATAATAATAATAATAATAATAATAATAATAATAATAATGTGAACCGTTTGACTGTTTGACTTGTTGTTAAACTGAGTCAAGAAGAGGACACTAAAGCTGAAAAGTTTCAAGGGCATGTATGATCTTGGAACAGATACATTAGACCCCGTGATCAATGACAGATGTCAGAAGGTAACTATTTAGTGAATTAAAACTATCTAATTAGAACGATACTTTTGACGTAAACAAACTGTTAGTTGAGTCAAATATTCCCAATAGATCAAGAAAGAATACAAATCACGGAAATACGAAGAGATATAAAGTCCTATAAAATAAATCTCCGCAATCTGTGGGCGTTAGTCGATAAAAAGGATAGTTGATTGTCATCAATATCAATTATCATGAATAATTTGAGAGTTGTGATACTACTCAGGGACCCTGAACTATAAAAAGTTTCAAAGTGGGATATCTACCAACACTAAGTTTACTTTAACACGGTGACACTGCAAACGATACAGAAACTCGACTACCAGGTATTAGATATGCACAGGAAAACTAAAATTCGGAACTTACTTAAAGTTGACATTCTTTCATTAGATGGTTCCGCAGACCCCAAACGATCAGTGCATGTATTATTGTTCACTGAAGCTATGCTGTGAGGTTCATCAAGTGGGAGGGTATGTTGCGTCTCTTGAAATATAACAACAACTGGGCCTAGCTGACCAGGTGTCCATGGTAAACCAGTACGTTCAGCTAGTGCTTCTAAATCTGGGCGAAAATGTTCTGAAAAAGCATCGCTTGCATCCGCAAGGAAAGTGAACATATCACTATGAAGACGATCAGACATAGTACGATAGATGACAACATCAGCTAATGCAAAAACCTTCAACAGTAAACGTCTTTGTCGATTAGGATTAGGGCTAGCACCAAGTAAACCTATATTTGAAATAATTGAAAAAGGTATCATTATATACAATCGACCAAATCGCAGGACTAATGACCAGTGTATGTGAGGTACGAAACCATACTCAAAATAATATAATTCATATTTAACAATAAAATGAATAATAATCAATATGTAAGCCAGAAAAAAACCCTTTTATAAGACAGTAAAACATTTCGGAAATGACTGACATCTTTATTAATCGAAAGTGACGTGACTTTCACCAATTTAAAAGTATCAGAACTACGTTCTAAACATATCAAAAATATTCAGTTCAAAAGAGTATCATAATTAAAATAAGATGGATATACATTACTTTATCTATCTGTTTATCGGACGTTCTACAACAGTCGAAACCTGTCGATAGACAAATTGACACCAATAAAGCGACTGAGATTTATGATAGGATAGAAGCAAGAGACACAAGGGTATTTACAATATTATGTTGAGAACTTACACCATTAAGAAAACTAAACTTTAAAAAAAAACCAACAGAATTTCCCAAAGAAAAGCTTTTAACGTACACGTGATTAACCTATCTATCTAATAGAAACTGTTGAAGTGTTGCCATTATGATGTCTATTTTTCCTATATAATGTAAGTTATTTGGTAGCTTTCTCCATACCATATTTATCAACAGGTAATATTGTTTCATATAAAACATTAAAATTAAACGAAAATAACATAATTGAAATGAAACTGATCAGATCGAGGAATATAAACTACGGAGTAATGTTGAATCCCGAAACTCTAGAAAATTACAAACATATATTTGAACTATCGTGGTTAGTTTGGATTAGATAACCTGAGGTCTCTACACTACAGATTACGATAATCTTTTTGATAGTAACTAGATCTTTGCTTTTCACAATAGCTTAGACCAACGGTGAACGGGTCCATAGAACTATGCTATGTATCTATTAAGCAATCCAAGCCTTTTTTCAGCGTAACCAGCATCGGGTGTTGGAGTAGACGGTGGAATGGTGTGCAATACAAATTCCAACCACGTCAGTACTTACATACCAATGATCAAATACTAGCGACTTTTGAATGTCTTCTACCATCAAACCTGTAATCACGGAAGACTCCTGAACAGTATAATTGCTCTCTTATAAGTAAACAGGTCGTCTGTATGAAAAAATCTATACATGGTCCTAAGGAACTAATCAATCAACGAAAACACACAATCACTTTAATTGTCGCAAGATTAAAAGTCGACTAGCCACGACAGCTCACGAAACATCCAATAACATCTCATGTTATGTGATATGGGTAGTTGTCAAATGTGGAAAAACAAATAAAGCTGTTTGTTTCTGAGGCATGAGCTAGATATTTTGGACAGATTAGTGATGACAAGTAGCGCTAAACCGTTTAGATCAAGAAACACAAAACCACAAAGGTCACTACTTTAAACAAAACTCTTCCTTTCTTTTGATTGTCCGAGAGGATTGATTACAGCTATTATTCACTTTCAGCTGTGAAAATCTAATTTCCTGAGTTATATAGAATAAAACACACTAAACCACCGTCACATATACTTTTGTGTGTTCATATTGCACAGAGAAAAACAACTGGAATAAATCACGTGGTTACTTTAAAAATTATAGGCTAAAGAGATTATGCTTTACAAAATAAATATGCATAAGAAACATTGTCGATCGCCATAATGTCTGCTATTTTCATTTAGAAATGATAAATAAATTCAATTTTATATTACGAAGAAGAAGAAAATTGATAGCCCACCTTCAGTATCTATGAGAAGATAGCCCTCCTTAGGTAGATAGGCGGCCCATATTCCAATTGTACACGTGGCTTGCGAGGGCGAGGTGACAAATACATCTGCACCGCCGCAAAACGCTTGATTTAGAGTATGTGACTTCCCATCACCTGTATTTCCAACAATAGCGATAAGTTTTACTGTTCTATCTGCAGGGCAACCCAAATGCCAAGCCAAAACGTCTGCATCTTCAAACTGGAATGACAGGATTTGACAGCAAGAGGGTAAAAAGCTGAAATAACATTTACTGTACACAATTTCACATGACTGGATCACAAAACGAACTCCTTCAAAAGATTAACTATAAATAAGCTCTAAAAACTTTCCAAACCAGTTGATTTAGTCCCAAATGAGTTCAAAGAACTCACTAGTGGTGGGATACAAACACTATTTAATGTCTAAGGTGAGGCACTGAAGCAACGAACATAAGGTATCCAAACAGACTCGAGTTACAATCAAAACCGTATTGATCATCAAGTGCCAAATTCCAAAAATAGGCCACCTATATTCTATGACCTTGAATTAAAATACGACTACTCAGGTGATGACAATTACAGCCGCGTCAGAGAGACAAAATATATTCTGCTTAGGTATTCATCATTACGACTCAAAGAAAGTCTTTATCTAATGTCATCGTGATAAGTACTGATCGTTACAAGTGTCTATTTTACTATTTTTTAACCAAGTATCAAAAACCTACTAATTTAGGTGACCTTCCATACACCAGTTTTTTTTTCAATGATTAATCTTCTTGAGATATCAAGTGATAGAACCAAATTTACAATAAGATAATTGCCAAATAAGGTTCTAGAAAAATATTTATTGCAAATTTATTTAGTTTTATTGATGCTTCAAAACAACACTCGTCTGAGATGGAACCACTGAGTTAGTAATTTTAAGGTTGTATATTCATTTTTACCGAGTAAAATAGTGTAAATGTGTCAAATCTCAATCCAACATTATCATGTGTTTACCAGTTTCAGTAGGGCCAATGAGTAAAACAATGAAGTGGCCAAACCAAGCTATAAAATGAATCTGTGAACTTACTGTTTATCAAAATTGTGTGGTGAAATGTAATTGGAAAAAATGTTATAATCAAGAGGCAAAGTTTCTCATTTTTTGTTGAATATGAAAACTCTGCACAAAGGGTAGATGAAGAAATACATCACTCAATTATAGAACACTAAGGATTACAAGCAGTCTTTACTAGTACTCAGTATGACCAAGGGATTTTGAACAGTAAAAGTAAACATAAAACCGAAGAGGAATGGTACAATATGCCACCTCTAAAAATATGTAACACTGTCAAAATACCCATGAGCCACACAGCTGTTGTTTCCTTAAATATAAAAAATGCCTTTTTGAAAAAATTACCGAATCATAAAGTTAGGAACCAACCTAATTATATTGAATCAATATTTCAAATAATTCACATGACATTAAATAAGAAATTTCACCTAACTATAAACATAATAATAATAATAATCATTTAGATAGTTGGTAATAAATGTGATAAATCACGTACCTACCATTTATTTAAGGCAATTCGAAATGTGCATTTATGTAAACACACTCATACTAGGAATAATAAGATAAATTCTTCACTAAGAAGTGTTACGTTTCAATGGTACAAATTTATCGCCAGTCAGATTAACTTATGATTGTAAAATAACGGATGACATTAAAGAAAATTTAATTGTATTAAGTTTAATGCAAATATAGTTTGATCGACAATAACTTAACGATTATATACAATTGTAAGCTATGAGGATGACAGCTAAACTTTAGATTATGACTCTTACCTAAAGACTAACTAATATGAAGTCAGTATGCAACAGAATTCTAAACAAATAAGGTAAAATTGTAGTGCCAATTTTTCTTCTCATATAAAGTGACCTGAGCTTTAGCTGTTCATAGATAGTATGCAAACCACAAATGTGTGTAACGAAATAGCTGAGCAAAAATATATATGAAGAATAATAAAAGAGTATGATAACATGACCCGACCGTTGTTGCTACCTTGACGTGGTGGTCGGGCTTGCCTATCGTGATGAAGCAACCGAGCTATACTGGCTGGAACAACCGTTCCTCAAGGTCCTACCATGTCAGACAGGTCGGTTGAAGAGCGGTAAGACTAAAAGCAACAAACCCAAGGTCCGAAGGCGAAGTCGTACTGCTGACTGTACAGAGGTGTGACAGCAGTAAGGTGTTTCCTTCAGACAACCAGCATGACAGCGATGCTGCCTTCTCACAAGGAGGGGTGGGGTTAGAAAAGGTCGACCCTAAAAATGCACACCTCACCTTGCCTCACGGATTTCCGTCTCCGGCGGTAAGGCCCTTTGAAGAACGGAGCTAACACGTCGAAAACCTTCCACGAAAAGGCCGTGCGCGACCGGCCTCAAGCAGTTGTCCCTTGGGCACTGCGGTCACGCTCTCAGGTCACTGAGACCACCTCTAATCCAATTTCCTTTTCAGGTACCTCCAGAAGAACCCTTCCACGGTGTGGGCAACCGGGAAGTGATAACCGCCCTCATACCTCTAACAGTACCCAAGACCACTGTATTCATAATCAACCTTCCTCTTCAATTCCTATTATTCCTCCTACATCGACTTTCAACCCTAAACTTCCTCCTTCGGCTTCCTCCTCAAGTGTCACCATAGCCAACGATTCTAGTGCTCAAAACTCTGTCCCAGGTCTACTGAAACCTCGCTCCAAACTACACATTGGGGCTTTCAACGTACGCACTCTATGTCAAATCGGTCAGCAGGCTTCCTTGGCTAAAACCCTAGAGTCTCTTTCCATTGATGTATGCTGTGTCTCTGAAACACGCATACAGAATCCCAGTGTGGTCATTCACTTGATCTCACCTCGACAAAACGGAGAGCCAACGAGATACACCCTTCGTGTATCTGGTGACCCGATGGCCAGTTCTCGTGGACTGGCAGGTGTAGGCATAGCACTAAGCATGATGGCCGAACAAGCACTGCTAGAGTGAATCCCCGTCAACAGTCGTTTATGTGCTGTTCGGCTAAACGGCTCCGTAAGAACTCGGACGGATAGGGACACACGTCGTTGCCTTTTTGTCGTTTCTGACTATGCTCCCACCTACTGCAGCTCAGATGAAGTGAAAGATGAATTTTACAGAAAGCTTTCTGAACTTCTTCAGAAAGCTAAACGCTCAGACATAGTACTCGTAGCAGGTGATTTTAATGCTCAGATAGGTAGCTTAAACCAAACAGAAAGGCATTTAGGTGGATATTTTGGTATTCCGACACAGCGAACAGATAATGGTGATCGTCTGCTGCAGCTATGCTCAGACAATCGTTTATTTTTAGCAAACACAAATTTTAAGCATAAGGAGAGACATCGTCTAACATGGCGACCCCCTACACCAAACCAACGATGGACTCAAATAGACCATATTGCCATCAGTCATCGTTGGAGAGGGTCGGTAGAAGATTGTCGCTCATTCTGGAGTACCCGCTTGGACTCCGACCATGCCCTAATACGGGCACGCATCTGATTGCGCCTCACTGGACGCAAAAAAGCCACATTAAAAAGACCCGTTAGAACTGAGTTGAGTAACGAGAAAACCAAAAGTAGGTTCCAGGAACAACTGAGGTCACACTTAGGTAGTTGTGAAGACGAGGCTGACCCAGATGTTGCTTGGAAGGGCATACAATCAGCTGTGGAAACAGCAGTGACATCTATTAGTGACTTAAACCACAAAGTTGCAAGGAACCAGTGGATTTCTTCAAGGTCTGTCACACTGATGGATTCTCGCAAACTCGTCCCATCAGGTTCTGAACATGATGAAGAGCGAAAACAAATCAGATCTAGGTTAAGAAAAAGTCTAAGGAACGACCGTGAGCAGTGGTGGGTAACGAAAGCAAAAGAGATGGAAAAGGCGGCGACTATAGGGAACACAAGACAGCTTTACAGACTAATAAAAGAAACTGGAATTAATAAGTCAAGTGTAAGTGAGATTATTTCGGAAAAAGATGATACTCTCATCTGCTCCCAGTCCAGACGTTTAGAACGATGGGCGGAACATTTTAGAGAATAGTTCAGCTAGCCTTCAGCTACTCTACAACTACCCTCCATTCCCAGACAATGTGAATGGAACATTGAAGTAGGTCCCCCAACTCTTACTGAAGTTCAAAAGGCTATAGTTAATCTGAAGCGAGGAAGGGCAGCTGGTCCAGATGGATTGGCTCCAGAGGTCTTTAAGGATGGTGGTCCAATTTTAGCGATTAGGTTGACTAATATTTTAGCTAAGATCTGGGAATTAGACTTTATCCCATCTGACTGGTCGCAATCACTTATCGTCCCAATATATAAGAAAGGGTCAAAATCATCCTGTGACAACCACAGAGGGATTGGTTTAACAAACATAGTATCTAAAATACTGGCCTCGATAATTATCAGACGCCTAACTAAGACTCGTGAACTACAAACTCGAGAGAACCAAGCTGGCTTTAGACCTGGTCGTGGCTGCATCGACCACATATTCACCATTCGTCAGGTTCTAGAACACAGGCATACCTATCGGCGTCCGACGATGGTGGTCTTTCTTGACTTAAAAGCAGCGTTTGACTCTGTAGACCGCGAGACTCTGGGGCAGTGTCTGTCATTGAAAGGCGTACCTCAGAAGTACATAAACCTTGTGAAGGCTCTTTACTCGAACACTACTAGTCGAGTCAGGGCTTATGGAGAACTGTCATCTACTTTTGCAACTTCAAGTGGTGTCCGTCAAGGCTGTCCACTTTCTCCATTTTTGTTTAACTTCATCATAGACCTATTGATGGAAATAACACTCTCGTCGACTGAATTCTCGGGTATTGATCTCCTTCCAGGAGGTCCACTTATCGACTTAGAATACGCAGATGATATAGTCCTGTTTCGTGAAGACGCTGACAAAATGCAGAGTCTTCTGGTAGCAATAAGCAACAATGCCAGAATGTTTGGAATGCGCTTCTCTCCCTCGAAATGCAAGTTGTTGCTTCAGGACTGGTCTGCGTCAACACCTGAACTAAGGATAGGAAGTGAAGTAGTCGAACGCGTCGACAACTTCACTTATCTTGGAAGTCTGATCAGCCCTAATGGGTTGGTGTCTGACGAAATCTCAGCACGGATTCGAAAAGCTCGTTTGGCTTTTGCCAACTTGCGTCACCTATGGCGAAGGCGAGATATCCGTCTATCAATAAAAGGACGAGTATACTGCACGGTAGTCCGTTCTGTCTTACTTTACGGCAGCGAAACATGGCCTTTAAGAGTAGAAGACACCCGTAAGCTACTAGTATTTGACCACAGATGCCTTAGAAATATTGCTGGCATCTGCTGGGATCACCGGGTAAGTAATAGTGAGGTTAGACGCAGGGTATTAGGGAATGATGGTAAATCAGTTGATGAGGTTATGAATCTTCATCGACTGAGATGGTTGGGCCACGTATTACGTATGCCTGAACACCGATTACCACGACGTGCAATGCTAACCGGTGTAGGGGATGGTTGGAAGAAAGTTAGGGGCGGCCAAACCAAAACGTGGCATCAGTGCTTGAAGACACTAACTTCTAGTCTTAGCCATGTTGGTAGATGCAGACTACTTGGTTGGGGTCCGCGTGACTATCGTAACCAATGGTTGGAGACTCTTGGTGACATGGCTCAGAATCGATCACAATGGCGTCGGTGTATACACTCTTTGTCTTCCCTTAAACTAAGAGATTAAAGTCACTTCATATCTTTCTTTCTACGAACTAATTCTTCCTTCCTATACTATATCCTTATTGCAACCTTTGACCTAACCACTCCTATGAATCCGGTGTTCATCTTGTTGTGCTGATGCGGTATGGCAACCTGGACCGATGCACATATGTGCCTCGTCCTACGTTGTAGCTGACTGATGATAACATGATAACATAAGTAATAATGGTAATGATAACCCTTCTGTCGTCTACATAAGATAATGACACTATCTTGAAGTATTTATATCGTAACAGATGAAAGAGTCCACTATTTTTAACGCAAAACATTGTCAAATTCATTAATGCATGCGCTATTCTGGCCTTAATAAAATATCACAATAATTATAGACCTGAAACTGTAGAGCTTGATAATTAAGTTATTGGAAACAATTGTCCGCCCAAATATCCTTTATTTCTGAATATTCTATGGGGATTTTTAAACTGTTGAAATCGAGAAATGCTGTTAGTGATTCAGAGAAAATGTCCTGAGCTTTGAATAACTGTTTGAAACGGTTCGTTTCTGTTTTTTAGTTAGATTTAGAAGTAGAATAAATAAATATACAATGAGGTAAAATATGATTAGATAGCAACTGGTCCAAGGGAATCACTAGCATTGTTTAACCTCATTTAATGGAGCAAGTGATTGAGAATAATGATGAATTTTTGAATTATATGGGTGGGTGAACACAACACGCAAAGAAGTGCCGATGAAATACAAAATCTATCAAATCACTATGTTTCACTTTAAGTCGACATCAAAGTGATATATATCTCGGGTAATTAGAACAGTGTAAGTTTATGAGTGTCATCAAGCAAAAACATGACGCTGTAATAACGCGAATTACCATGGTCATATTTCACTATAAAAAGGTCAAAAACAAAATAAAACGGGACTAGACTACCTAACGGGTCTCAAAAAGACTTGAATTTCATTTGTTCAGGACTGATTTTCACTTTGTTTACCTCAATAATAGGAACCTTTAATGTTCCTGAGTTGTATTTACAATTTATTTCCGAGAATATATACATAAAGCGCTTCAGAATCGGTCTGAGTCAACAAACTAATGATAGTAAAGTGGATGAAGTTGACCACTTTACTTATCTTGAATGCTCCACAAGCCCAGGTGGATAGGCCTCTGACGGAATCCTTGGCACGGTCTCAGAAAGTCTGGTTAGCTTTCCCAATTCGCATCACCTATGGAGTAGGTGAGATATCCATCTGCCAACCGAAAGATGAGTTTGCCGTGAAGCAGCTTTCTATTCTAATTTATGTGCTTATTAAGAATAGATGACATTCGTAGATTGTTATTATCTGATTCTAGGTGTCCTTGAGATATTGGTCGAGGATTTTTGAACCACTGAATGACTATGTTGAGGTCAGAAGTAGAATTTCAAGTAAAGATAACAAATCGGTTGAGGTAATGCGTCCTTCCCAAGTGAGGTAGACAGGTATTACGTATGCCTAACCACCATCTACCTCGACGTACGATGAAGTTGGGTGTAAGAGAAAGTTGGAGGCGGTCAAACTAGGGTGTGGCGCCAGTTTCTAAAGTCAGCGATTGTTGGAATGAGCCATTAAGGTAGGTCCAGACTACCTGGTTGTGGTCTACGCGATTGTCGTGGCCAATACTTAGACGTTTGGTGACATGGTCCATAACTGTTTGGAATGCTTCAGGTTTATTTACTTTTTAACTTCGGTTAATTCCGAAAACTACCGTTTCTTGGTTCTATGAAAAGTCGTTCCCATTACTTCTGATGTTGTTACTACCACTAATCTGAGATTTGTCTTGGTAATTTTATCGCGCTGTGCTAATGTGATGTGGCGACCTGAGCTAATCTACATATGTCCCAGGTCCTAAGTTGCGCATAACTATCTGAATTGCCGTATTGAACACACAATATTAATGCTGTTTAGACTAAAAGCATCCTGTTTCTTTTGTGCATTTAGGTTGATATATGGATAATTAGATGTCGTTGTGCAAACAATTGTTAATCATGAGCATGTGAATTTAAACCCTGGCTGCAAACCATATAACAGAACTGCTCAGAGAGTAATTTATTGGTTAGAGCATTTAGCATGTAGTATGTAAACCTGTACACACTATTATTCACTAATGATTAGACCAATTCAACCCTCCGTGATAAAGTAACAGTATAATTAGAATCATCCCTCATTTCAGTTTATTCCACTAGCCGAGTGACTAGTAAATAATCAAAACATTTCCTAGCTTAAACATACATTCAGTTTCTCCACTAACACGGTGTTTAAGGCACACATAAAATCTATAAATCATGAGGCTGCAGAGGGTATAGCTCGCATGCACAATCAAATCTATCAAAGAAAACTGAGATTACTCGTAAAAATACGCGATGAAGAATACGATTAAAAAGTCATACACAACAGCCAAAGCAAACAAAACGCTCCAAGTATAATTTGCCCCAGTAAATTTGAACGAATCAATGGACAGACTAGAGGATATACTATTTATAAACCTTATGAAACCTTCCCATAGCTTGAAGCCGAAAAAGAATGAGTGACTAGTTTTATGATACAGTAAATCTTTGATATGAGAAATTCACTAACTAGAACACGTTCTTCTTCGTCGATCAATCGAACAGAACATGGAGGTTGAGGACGGGTAGACAATTCATCTGCCTTGCTAACGTTCTGATGCTTGGATGATAATTTGGTGCCTTTTCTCTTGGTTTCCTGAGGGCAGTTGGTCATTGACGGTACACCGGGAGTATCATCAAGCTCACCTGGAAATCGCAAAAGAAATACATAAGAGTTGACCACCCATCTGAAACTAAAAGTAGTGATCTACTATGGACGATAGTACTAAACATAATCAACATGAACTCAGTAATTCACAACCATTGGAAAGTAAGATGCAAGAAGATAACAACTTATGTCACGATCTATGAGCGCCACGTTGAAGAGTCTTTAAGCAGACTGATGGCTAAACTATATGGTGAAATGAAGTTAAGGCGAGACTGTAATTTATGGACGAACCAATCTGATTTACGATAACAGGCTTTGAATTTCGGAGCGAAATTTTTTTTATCCATTTAGCTAAATAGAGTTTTGGCATTTTAGATTATGTCAGTTTATGATGAAAATCATAAATCTAATTCCTAACCCTAACCACCAACTGTAAATCAAAATCCTTCTTCACACAGGTTTATAACTCTCATTTAACCATAGTGTGTAGATGGACATTCTAAAGGTTACTTTAGCGTCGCTCAAAGGTCATCTATAAATTATAATCTCACCGAAGTTTACCCCAAGAAGTGACTTTGGAGCAAAGCTATGACACATTGAAAACCCAGACAGCCCCGACAGTCAATTAGTAAATCTGGCATACACAGTTTTGTTGTAAGCTCTAACCCGACTAGTCCTGTGAAAATAGAGCACCTAGTCGGTGGATATACACTTTTAGTATACGATAATCAGAATACCTTTAGATTGAGTCGATTGAAGCTCTTAAGTTGTAGAATATTTCCACAATCGAATGACGACAAGTGGGTGTATGTTTTAAAATATATCAGAACGTAAATATTTGATTAGTGTGGTGCATATAGATCTGGTACCCCATTGTACCAATATTTATGTATTCAAATAAATAAAAAATAAAACATTTGGTCAATGAACCAATGAAACCAGCTAAATGAAATTGTGCACTTTAATGTCCCGAGTTCCAAATTTTGGGGGAAATTTGGCACATTTTTGGGAAATTTCGGGGTTTGTGTGCCATCTCCCCAAACGTTGGGGACTTCCCCAAAATTGGGAGCTCGGGGTCGGCCATTGGTTTTATTAATTTCGTTAGGCGTCAACCTCTTACTTAAACTATATCTGGATGGTGAGCATACAGTAAATAAATAGAACTTGGGCGACCCTTTATACATTTCAATCTGCAGACTTGGCATTGGTTTTTTGATCTACCCTTTACCATGACTTTAGGTCGCCACCTCGAAAAATCCGGACAAATAAATACCATTACTCATTGGTTACTACCTAGTCCTTTATACTTTTATTACCCAAAAGTACTAGCAACCACTAGTTAAACTATTAGTAACTATAACTAAACCACTTGTTTTTCAAAAACTAATGCAATGGAGCATTCGTTGCTTGGGAAGAAACGATCAATACGCTTTGGCTCGAAAATCCTAAGTGCTATTAAGATGGGGTTAGAAATCACAAATGGACTGTCTAGAGGTAAGAAATTCGCTGAGTCCCTATCCGGTTATTTCTACAATGAAATACATCATGTTTTCACCTAGTTGCCCTTTCAGAGACCTAAATGAGTGTTTTCAATGACAGCTGACACGATTATTGGTCACCGAGATGTCAGCTGTTACATTTCTGTATGGTTTTAATATGCCTAGAATCACTATTTTCATGAGATAAGCGACTGTCTGCTCACAGATACAGCGAACGTCCTTAACAAAGATCTGACAGTGGACACTAATATTACGAACAAAAAAAAAACCAAAGTAAAAAACTTACTAAGTGCGCTGTTTAGTATACAACGTGTGGATTCACTAAGTTGATTTTTCATTACAACAGTTGGACCATTCTCTCCGACCCTAACAGCACCGATACCAACAAATTCCGAATTCATGAAAGGCGATGAGTATTATCCTTTATTCGATAGTCTGTTAAATTCCTGGAAACTTAGGGATAACCCTTTTACAACCACAAGCGATAAAATAATTCCTTATTGCCCCATGCGTGGAAAATTTAGTTTGAAGATTTTGAGGCGGACACTCCGGAAAACCCGCCAAGACCGGTTTGAGACATGTTTAATTCGCATAATTTTCTTTGTTTTCATTAATTTGACAAAATTAGCAATTTCACCCAAAATCCAATTTACTCAGGCGAACTGCTAATATTTTATTGCATAATACCATATTTAGTTTTTTCTATATCTTCCAACTAGAAGTTTACGGTAACAATAAATTTTAAGAGATTTTCAACAGTCATATATCTTCGTTGTCCAGACTGACAAAAGGCTCGCATTCTTACCAATTTTCTTCGTCAGAAGTAGATGCAAGACGTTCCCCAGGTCTGCTGTTGCTAACACAAGACCGGTTAATGGATAGGCAGTAGTTAGTAAGCACCAAGCTTTGTTAAACACCTCATAGGCAAGAAAACACAACAGAAACTGAGTGAATTTTAATCTCGCCAGAACATGGAACTTTACGTTGGGATATGTAGTGATCTGGCATGCTCTCCTAAACACTATAGCATGTTCTCTAAAATAGTTGATGTAATCGGTTATTAAATAAAATTCCTCAAGCAGTGCACATTAAGTTGACCAAGTGGTGCAGCAAGACCGAAGCAGAACACTTTGTGTTGTTGAAGTTGGCTAGTCCTAACTCATCGACACTTCATATAGTGACATTAGTTTGATTAATTGGTTCAGCACTGCCCAAAATCATTAATCTTCAACATTGATGCTGACCGTATGAGTTTTGCTGGGAAAACTCTACTTGAAGACGCTTACTCACGCATTCACACCATATTACGATTGGGTACACCTTGGTGAGCAGCTCTCACAACAACTAGCCAGCTTAGACCAAACGCTTCCCAACAATCGGTAACTTTGCAAATATATCTTTGAACCCCTTCTTCCCTGACTTGTGATTTGACTGATTTGGTGTCCTTCCATTGTATTGGTGTTACGTGTAAATGAGTCCTCCTTTATGTTTTTTCCATCTTTCCACCACAAGAACTGATTTATCTTTATGCACTGTTGTCCTTACGAAAGACCTACATATATACTAACTTCGTTTTGACGTATCCACTGTTAAGGCTATGAAATATGACAAGAAATTCTAGACTGCTTTTCCTTATCAAAAGTACACTTACATAGAAGTGTTTTTCTTCACGGTCTATCAAAATCGCCTGATTCTGTATGTTACATACGGTAGTAAGTCAGTTAAGTAGCTCAACGTAAACTTGGTGACCCTGTAGCGAAAAATAAATCCCCAAAACAAATAGCTCTGTAAGTCTTCGACATTGAATGCTGACCACATTGATTTTACTGGACTCACCTAGCTGAGGGCACCCGGTCATCCATCTGCACCAGATCACAAGTTTGAACGCCGTGCTCAACAGCCCCTGCAATCGCTGGCCAGATTAGATCAGACGATTCTCGATATATTGATAGCCTATCAAATATATCTTCTGTCTTTTCATTTCACTTGGTGGGTACGATTCATATTAGGTGTTACTGGTTAGAGCGTTGTCAAACTACGAATCCCTGTGGCATCTTCAACCCCAAACCACACTTGGGAGCTTGTTTCTGAAGCTCGAGTATGGACTCTTCAGACTGCTGGTTGACGAATATTTATATGAAATCTCACATTTTCACGTCATTTATAAACTAAACGTGATTTAATACTGGTTATTGGAAGACTTCAAAGAGAATTGAAATAAGCTTTTCTAAAAGCGCAAGATTTACTGATAAGCCGTAAGCACCCTACTAGGATTAACAGAAGAAATTAGAGTGGACTTATCTAGGTCCTTGTAATGTATTCCGTTGTTGTGACTGGCTTGCATATTAACTATTGATTCCTAAACCATTTTTAGCATACCTTTCAAAGGTTGTGGAAAATCAGTTTTTGGACAATATTTTTATTTAAGCAATTTTATCATTAATTCTATAGCGTACGGTCTGGTAATTCTGTACTGTAAAACTTTATCCATTGCCCTCTATGGGTCTTTGAACCTTGCAGTGGTAATAAAATTGATGTTTGTGTTCAAGGTCTTAATATTTTTAACTTGCGCAACAGAATACAAGGGCTTTGCAGTTGTGCGCTACTTTGATTCTGTAGTTAACAAGCATTTCATTAGGACAGTCTTCGGAGATCAATAAGGAAAGCTGTCCTTGATGCTCTACAATCAGTGATGAGTGACTCACAATTTAGGGCTGAAAATTTATCGTCTTTTAACAGCAGGTTACAACATCCAGGAATAAAACGTTTTTGTGATCAGTAACATTCGAAATAAAAATTTTATGAGTTTATTCATGGCGTCGGGATTTAGTGACTCCAACTTAAAGTGGTGAATTTTATACTGCTGTGGTGTATGTTGCTTATGTTGATAGACCTAAGTGGTACGTAATACAAACCAGAAGTGGAATGCCTGGTAGAAGAGGGTTGAAAGGATCGAATTGAAGAGGAGAGGAATAAAGACACAGAATAATTGTAGTAAAAATAGGAATGAGGTATATCATGTTTGGTTCTCACATTTTACGAAAACACTCCGTAATTTTGCGTCAAATAGTAAATTGGTCTTCCCCACCTGAGTTCTCTTTGACCACACTACCAGTGTCAGAGATTAAATCGTAGAAACACAACCGGAAAAATATAATCGTTTTCGAATATGAAATGGTCTACTGGAAGTTGTAAATAAGGATAGTATATGATTATTAGAATAGCACAAGTTAATGGGATCTGAATTACAAAGTCCAATATTACTTGCGCAAAAACGAACAGTAGTATTAAAATCGACTGGATTTGTCCCATTTTACCACATTTAAAGCACTAAACATGACAAAATACACATGAATTATGTGAATGTAATTTATACAGGACAAATATATACCGAACTTGTGCTCACCCATGTTACTTGCATTGCAATTCCTCAATGAGTTGTAATCTGTATGACTTTGTTTACGCATAGATCACGATAACTAAGTGATGTAGTGAAATGTGTGATGTTCTGGAAGTCATTTATATGCACTGCATCATAATTAATACACGCAGTTCTAAGGTCTTGAAAAGAACACTTCGGCATTTGCATAAGCTCTCTCTTCTGACTAGGTATGTTAATTTTCGTCACCAATCGATCACGTAGCTGTACATGGAAATGATCACAAGGAATGCACTTGACAGGTTGTTTCTGAAACGCAAGGATGAATTTCCTAACCTTTTGGTCATTCTGACGAATCATTTCATGTACTTTCCTTTATCATGACTTATCAGGAGTAGCACGTTAAGCCTTGCACAGGAAAGTGAAATAGACGTGTTTGGAAATGCCGAATTTCTTGGAAGGCTGCAGGCATTTTTTTTGACGAATGTGAGGAAATGAATCGCAATTTTATCCTGAACATTTTTACTGGTCATACCCTAGATTCCAAACCTTTCAATGTATACTTCGAAGGCTTCACAATTCGAATGTGCATTCAACTGTTCAGTTACAGATTCCATTGCAGCGACGATATAATGGTTATAAGTACTCGAATCAATGTACTGACAAGAAATTTGAAAAATGTTCAATTTAAGGTAGGTAGAACCAGACGAACACAAATAAACGTGAAGATGCTACAAGTATTTGAAATTTGACAACACTTTACTGCTCCCAGACATCCTTGTTCTAATGGTCAGGCAGAACATTTGGTCAGGACATTAAAAACTGCTATTGATTCTATTGCCGCTTCAATATTTAATGAACTGGAGAGGAGAATAGATACTTTTCTACTGTAATATGAAAATGCTAAACATTCTGTGACAATAGAGACTCCATCGTAGATAATAAAAAGAATTCTCCGTTCGAATATGATGTGTTTGGAGTCTTCAGGAGTTATATGTTATCGTGGAAACGATCTTCGACTAGCCTAGGGGATTGTGGTGAAGAGTGTCAGGAAATCTATAGTGCGAATTCTAGATATCGATGATTTAAACACACACAACCGACATGTTGATCAAATACAATTCCAGGAACCGTGTGAGTCTGTTCCAGTCTCGGTTGTTAATTCTAATACTAATGAGTACATTCTTGATACTACAAAGGCTTTATTCAATACACTGTCGGATAGGCACAGAATGAACTTAAGAAGAAGACATATAAACGATTACAGACACTCAGACTCCAATATAAGCTGTGGTGGATGTGGTGTTTGTATGAACTAACTATTCCTTTGTACTCTTTGAATGCTTGATTTCGAATTCTAAATAACATAGGTGTATTCGTACTCACTTTATACTTCATGATAAAATTGCGTTATTTCCGGGATCCTTAGTTCGTACTATAATTCAAATACTCCTAATTATCACAGTAGCCTGGGAGTCTGTCTAGCCGTGATAGAAATGGACGAGGAGAAGAAAGTGTACAAAACGACAAAAAATATCACAATGTATAGAAATTAAAATGAAGCAATGATATATAAAGTTACGAGAAGAAACAGACTCACAGTTTACGAATAGATGTACCTGATGGCGCCGGTCTTACCAATAAAGATGTCACAAGTAACTGAAGTTTGACGACACCTTATCCAGTAACGCCTTTTATAATTAAACGTGTCAACCCGGTGAGATCAGAAGTCGGAAGCGAAGAGGTTCGAAGATATTTTTGGTAGAATACCAATATATTGAGAAGTGACCAATGTAAGCTTGCTAGCGATTGTGGGAGAAGTGAAACTTGACGTACTCACTCGTGATCTGATGCAGATGCATGACCGGGTGCCTTCAGCTAGGTGAGTCCATTAAACCCAATGCGATCAGCATCAGTGTCGCAGACTTACGGGGCTATTGATTTTGAGATTTATTTACCGCCTGGATTTCGAGCAAACCTTGAACTGGTAACATTGAAGCGCACTTTTAGCCAGTTTGACGGAAGAACTTTCCACATAATCTTCAACACTTTTATTCGTCCTCATTTAGAGTACGGAAACAAATTATTCCCTCCCTCACTCCAAAGGGATAAGGACACTCTCGAGCGTATCCAACGGCGAGCCACGAAGCCAGTCCGGGGACTCAAATTCATACCTTATGAAGATCGCCTTCAATTCTGGA